GAGAGAGAGAGAGAGAGAGAAAGAGAGAGACAGAGAGACAGACTTAGAGACAGAGAGACAGACAGATGGCTTGGGAAGAAAAAATGCTGTCCCAAGTTATTTGGTTCTTCAATAATTGATTTTCTACTCGCTTCCGGATGTAATTCTATCTTCCCTGGTTGAGCTTTTAGAAGCTCATGTACCCAAACCTTCAGGGTACTTTGCATACCGATCCCCGATCAGTTGGGAAAAACAATGTGGAAGGCAAAAGAGTTGTCTATTGATCGGTTTGACAGGGTAGTAAAGTAGTCTGCTTTCCATCTGACTGCTGGGGATATCGGACCAATCGTTGTCCCTAGACACTTTTTTCTACGTCCCAAGGGAATGGTAATGGCAAAAGCAATGATGGTAGCGATGATGATGATTTTGATGGTGACGACGACGATGAGGAGGACGACGACGATGATGACGACGACGATGATGATGATCATGATGATGACGTCCAATCATCATCATCATCATCATCATCATCATCATCATCATCATCATCATCATCATCATCATCATCATCATCATGAAGCAAAAGGTTTATATTAATGAGTCGGACACAACCCTTCTTTAACAGAGACACAGGAAACATACAGTGCGTTTTTCTGGTATCGTTTTTAAGGTTTTATGTGATCTCTGAGGTGATATTTTGCTGTTGGAGTAGTTTATCCTCTGAACTATGAACTATTAGCAGTTGTAAAAAAAAGTCTATCACCAACAAATAAAAACAACCTCGATACGTTGAATGGTTGTCGGAAAATGGGCATCATATTTGGACAGACGTTCGATGAACTACGCGCATTATGCGGTCCGGTAATATTGTGACCTTACATTCAACGTTCGCTATGGAGTGGAGCGAAGCGGAAAAAGGTTTTTGCTGTTAGATCCTGCCATAAAACTGTATCTCTCTAATGGCAGTCTGAGTCTCAGTCTATGTTCACTTTTGGATTGATCCACGGTCCATAAACGGTACATTCACACGTGAGAGGTCACTTGTTTCTTGTTACTTGTGTGAAGGACCGACATCACTGCACAAGGAGCATCCTCATTAGTACTCCGTCCCCTGAAGAAACACATCTCGAAGTATGTAGATGCTGACGGTTCCAAGCAATGGTTGATTCCATAGCCTTCTGCTCCTCCCTCTAAGTCTTGATCCTCTGCAGGCGCCCCATCCTATTCCAAGCTCACGAAGTCGCTCAAGATGACAGTATTCCGATTCTTCTTTTTCCCGTATTTTCCTTGACTGAACGCACAATTTCAGGTTTGTCAGGGCACAGCTTTCCTTCAGGGTTTTCTTTCCCAGCGAGCTAATCGGCCCGCTCATTGCCCTTGACTCTAGCATGGCCTGGGGTTAAGATCCCGGTGATCTTTTCCAGTGTCGTCTTCTTCAGGAGCTGTGTCAATTCAGCTCTAATGTTCCCACTTTCAATCTTCCTCAGAGTGCTCTGAGAGTCTGTTACAAAGATCACATGTGATTGTCGAGTTGTTGTGACCCATTTGAGAGCCTGGGTGATTGCCTCAATCTCCATAATCATGCTAGATGTTGTCATATCGTATGCTCTGGGCTGTTTCTACACCAATCTGCCACTCACTCTTGTTGAGAAGCCCCACCCCGATTTTTTCCCTTGTTTAACAGATCCATCCGTGTATACAACAACATCTCCGTGCCGTGAGTTGTCTTCAATCAGTTGTCGTATCTGCGGCCACTCTCTACATTCTCTGTACAGCGTAATCACCACCTTCCAAAAATCTGCTTTCTGTCTTTCATTCATCTTTATCCATTCTTCACCCCGCTGTATATCTTCCAGAGGGCGGACTTCCTTTATGGTGTTTTCCGTCTCGGCTATCCAAGAAGCTCCTCGTTTTAGGCGATTTCCCTTGATTGCTCCAATGGCTTGGTGAAGTGGGTGTTGCTTATCAGCTGCCACCCTCATGTACGCCCTGACCTGAGCCACTTTGTGTCTGTTACCCACCGACATTAGGCCCAATACATGCCTCATACAGATAACTGGCATATCCCTGTTGCAGCCTAGTATGATGCGCATGGTCTCATTTGAACTCGATCCAAGTTGTCCAGTTGGGTTTTTGTCAGGGCCAATATTCCGAGCCCATAATCGATTACTGCTAAGAACAGCTGCTGATACATAAGAAGCAGTAGCCTTTGTTCCATTCCTGAAGCCACCATGACTTTCAGCGCATTCAAGCCCTTCTTTTCCCTTTCCACAACACCATCTATGTGATCTTTGAAGGATAGACAGCGATCGAAAACGTGAGAGGTCAATAGGCTGTTGGTCAAATATACTTTCCGTCTGTGGTCCTTTAGATAATAGCTATAAAAAAATTTTAAGACTGCATTTCCACAGGTTTCTACTTGTGTGCTTACTGTTGTTATGAACCTCCCCCCAGTAGCATCAGTAGCCCAGTGGTAAGTCTACCGGACCAGTAATCGTGAGATTGCGAATTAGGGTGTCCAAGCCTTAGCCCTTTTCCAACGTTGTGTCCTTGGGAAAGGCAGTGTACATTAAATTCCCATTTGGCTCAGTCCTCTCGGAGATGGACGTTCAAGGGGCGAAAAAAAAATCCGTGTCCGAACCGAGGCTCGAACCCGGACTTTCCCCGTCTGAGACGAGCGCACTAGTTGCTCCGTCACCGCACCCTCACCATTATTAGATCGAATTAAGTACGCACATGATATTTTTAAGTTACATAATTATACACCATCATGGTTTTCTTTGGTTGACTGGCGATAAACTACCTGTGCTATTCAACATTTCAGAGAGCTGTACGGTGGCTAAAATCAGTAACCTGCATAGCTATTCGCCAGCAAAGATCACCGTCGTGGACTCGCACAAGACACCGTTAGTCATCTCTAGCATGCAACTATATCGAGATCTCAGCCACGGATTATGTGTTCGAGGACGTACCTTCTCCTTCGAGAGGGCCCAAGTGCATGTCTCCTTTGGCTGTAGCGGGGTGTTCAGAGTCTGCGCAAGGGTCTCCGCTGTCACAACAACTTCAACAACTACAACTACAACCACCACCACTACGACCACAACTACAACCCCAAAGGCTGCTCCCCAACGTAATGATGTCTTGTTTGTTTGTGAAAGAACGACTGTGCTTACCTATTATCGTGGATACGGGGTTAAACAATTAAAGACCATGAGGTCAGAAACTAAATTATGTTCTATCTGCTTTACGAAAATCGTTCAATTATTGGGGGGAAAAATAAGACTGATAGAGAGAAACAATAGAAAGAAAGAAAAGAAGTAGGACATATCAGTGGCGCCCTCCAACCACCTACGCTTTAGTTGTGAAACAACTCAAAACCTACAGCATATGAAACGACTCCGTCCTTATTAAAGGGGTAACACTTGGTGGTGGAGCCCACTAAGAGTGAGTACATGAGGGTGGGAGAAAGATAGACACATGTGTACTGCAAGAGAGAGAGAGAGAGAGAGAGAGAGAGAGAGAGAGAGAGAGAGAGAGAGAGAGAGAGAGAGAGAGAGAGAGAGAGAGAGAGAGAGAGAGAGAGAGTTGGTGGTTGGCGGGTGCTCTGGGGTGGTTTGCTTCTTCTTTCCTATCAAACATCCTTCGTCTTTATCTCCCCTTCTTCTTTTTTATGTTTGTTACTCTCTTGTAACACCTCTAATCTTCTGGCGCTCATATGACCTTATGCAGTTGCGAGCGCCGTATAACCTCTACTAAAAAGAAAGAGAGAAAGAGATAGAGAGAGAGAGATAGAGAAACAGACAGACAGACAGACAGACAGACAGACAGACAGACAGACAGACAGACAGACAGACAGGCAGACAGACAGACAGGCAGACAGGCAGGCAGACAGACAGACAGGCAGACAGACAGACAGACAGACAGACAGACAGACAGACAGACAGGGATAGTATATATGCGTATGAACCAGATGGCAGCTGGTTGATCAAATAAGCAAAATTAATTTGATTAATAACCCCCAAAAAGCGCCGGCGACCACTGGCATTCTTATCGATTAGTGTCGACTGCCCTGAATTTGTTGCTTTCTATTTCTTTGTCTAAACTAACAACAACAACGCTTTCTGTTCTTTTTGGCGCCTTCTTCCGCGGCGTTCTGTTGACTCAGTTGTTGTCATTTTTGAATTAGATATGTGGACAACCCAGGTTCAGATCCATCTCTGATCTCGGGACATTTTAAAATTTTGGTTTGGCGATGAGTTCCCTGGGTTCTTCACTCTTTGAACTAGTACGCGTTGGGGATGACCCCGCACAACCCCCAACCCCTATTCCCCTATCTTGAATAACTTTTTTTTTTTCATCTGTCTGTTCTGTTCTTTCAAGCTCTAAATGGACATCATCGTGTCGATAGCTCTTTGCAAGTGTCTATGGTGTAGCGGTAAGGCGCATCACAGGCATAAGAAGAATACCTGATTCCATTCCCGTGTTGGGTGAATAGTTCTCGAGTATCTTTTTTCTGCTGAGACACTGTATCCCTCTTAGCTGGGGTTGACGCCTGCTAGATTATTTGAATTGTGTCCGTCGACCGGTGGGGGGATGTAATACGTTTTCATCTTAAAACATAATAATATATTCTCAGAACAAAGTTAATCCTTTTCGCACGATGATGTCTACAAGGCTTCCTCTGCATATTGCCATTAGGTCCTGTCTTTGCCATTCTCTGAAAAGCTCCAGTTTCGTCCTTATTTTCTTCATCTCGTTATCAATACATTTGCTCTGTTTTCTTTTGTCTTTCTCTACCTCTTTTGCCATCTATTACCCTACAGAAGGCAATCTTAGCCTTAGAAGAAAATCATCAAGTCACCACATCCTGGCTTCTTGAATAACTCGTGTACAGTAACAGCACAATGATCTAATATAATTTCAAATCTATCACCATCCCCAGTCATATGCAAGAAGGTCTACGTAAACGCACGGATATACCCGTTCTCCTTTCCTGGCGCCAAGTATAAATTCAGACACTGGCTCAGTTTGCACAAAGTGATAGTGGTTGAGCAGTTCTCCTCCAGATCCTGCATTCTACGCCGTGTCCCAGGATATGGTAAATACTCTCTGAACAAGTGTGAGGCCCGTATCCGTCTCTGCTACGCCATTGCCGACCCTGGGAGTGGATACCGACCTCCGAAACGCGGAGCTCAGATTGTGTACAGCTATTAGTCAGCTGCGGTCATCAATGTCTAGGCTCTGGCATTTGTAAGGACACGATATCTTTTTTTAAATTAAAGAAAATACTACTTTGTCTCCTTGAATCCATAGTCCTCGTTTGCTTGCTTTTGGTCATTTTAAAATCTTCAGTTTGAATTGATTGGTGGTACCTTCTATTTTCACTCCAACTTTCTATCTCCGCACTTAGTAAACAGCTGGGTGTCTACTGTATTGGAAAATGACACTAAATTGGAGGTTTCATATCTTAAAGAAACTCTCCCTTATGACACTTTTGTGTAGAAAAACTCTCCGCCACAACATGCCACGAAGAGCCACACCACATTACACCACATCACATCACACCATACCATACCATACAATTGCCACATTGCACTGTACAATACCATATCTTACAATACCATACCTTTATCATACAATGTCAGGTGACATAAAATTCCACGTCAGTGGAGTATCCTTTATTATCCTAGCAGGTGACTGGAAGAGAATATCAATACGTTCCACGTCTGTCTTTGACATTTCAAAGCAACGTTCCTGAAAGAAAAGATAGCGATTCGGGTTACTAGAAGATACAAGAACATATTATGATTTGGAGACCAAATACAGGAAAAAAATCAAGAAGAAGACCAGAAAGAAAATGTCAAGATAACTTCAGAGAACAGCCATGTACAACCTGGACTCGGACACAGTTTAAACAGAACTGATGTCATTATTGGAGAGCTACACCCTGCAGAGCACAAACAAAGGCTTGAAACACGAGTGTTGAAAATATTAGCATAGACTTTGTCTAAACAACGTTCTCATTCCACCCTCGCCCCAGCTTATAAAAGAGCAATGTAAGAAATTCCACGTCTATATGTTGTATGAAACAGTACACTAGGAAGATAAAATTTCCGTTTGGCCACTCACTCACGCTGCCTAAGAC